CCTTGGCACTGGGCTGCCAGCTGGTGGCACCTCCGCTCAGAGGGTCAGGCCCTTCGAGGAGCAGCTGCGGCACCCAGGGTGCCTGCTGGGGAGTCGGACAGGTGGGACCGGGTGAGCGAGGCTGTGCAGCTTTGCTGGTGGGGGCTGGAAAGGGGGGCCAGGAGGCAGGGGCGTGGGGCAGGGACACCCCTGTGCATGCCGCTTGCTGGCTGACCACCCGCACGGCAGCTGGAGCCAAGTGTCCCCTCAGCTGGGCAGGCGCCCTGGTCGGGAGCCAGGCACCCCCTTTCTGCGCCCCACCCCCACTTCTCGAGGCGTCTCGGGGTGGCGTCCTGCGGACCCCTTGACCCCGCTGGCCCCGCCATCCTCGGCGCACCGGGGGGTGGACAGCTGTGGTGGGTGGTGACGAGGAGGGTGCTGGCCCGCTGAGCGCGCTGGTCCACATGAGGCCCTGGCCAGCCTGCCGCCCACCACACCACCTTGTTTAACTGATGGAGGTCTGCCCAGTGTCAGAACCTAGGCATGAAAGCTCAGCCAGGCTCATGGGGCGTCTCACCCGAGCCCACGGTCACCGCCTCCAGGAAGGACCCCCAGCCTCCAGCGCGTGAGAGCCTCTTCCGCCCCCGCCCCCCCTCGGAGCCCCTGAGCACAGCATCCTCCCACCTGTGCCGTTTGTAGGTGTGTGTGAGCGAGCGTTAGTGTGTGAGAGTGTATCAGCATGTCAGAGTGCACGTGCTTCCTGATCTCTCTGGCCAAGGCGTGCTCCTGCTGGCCGACGGCCAGACCCTGAGCTCGCTCTGGACGCACGGAGTGGACAAAATGCCCTGCTCACTAACCGAAGAGACTCTGCCTGCTCAGAGGTGCGCCCACACCCCCGCGTGCTGCCCTGCTGGGTGGGGACCGTGGAGGGTGAGCAGGGCGACGTGGGTGCGGGGACGGCGGGACGGCCACTCTGAGATGGGTGCGGGGAAGGAGGGAGGGCCACTCTGAGAGCTCGTTTAGAGGGTGGGGATGACAGCAGAGCCGGCTCCCGGGGTCGGGGTGGGGGGAGTTGGAATCGGGCAGCCGCCCCCTCTTCTCTGCCCACTGTGACCCAGGCAGGCTGCGCACGGCCCCCACCACCTCCCTGGATCCCCGGGGGTCCAATCGTGCAGCAGAAACCCTGAAGGTGGCCAGGATGTGGGGTGCGCTGCCAACCGGCGCAGGGAGACGTCCCCAGACGCCCGTGCCAGGGAGGGGGTGGTGGCCACTGCTCTGCTGCGCTCTGCGTTCCCATTTACATCTCAAAGCCAGCGCAGTGCGCCAGCCTCCACCACTCACTTCCGGGGCCATAAAAGGAGCGGGGCTGAGAATAGCTTGCTGTGACGTGGGGAGCTTCCCCACGCAGGTGCAGGCGGTGCCGCCGGCAAGCAGGCAGGCGGAAGGCAGGCTCTGTCCCAGCTCCACCCCCGCGCACGGGAAACGGCAGCGGCCAACTCGGCTGAGGAGGTCCAAGGTCCCGCCTCCATTCTCCCTCTCACCTCTCCTTCCCTCTGCCCTTGAAGCCACCCGGCCCACGCGCATCTCATCCAAGCCCTCCCAGTCCGGCCGAGGCCTCTCCTGGGCTCCTGATCCACAGCTGCACGCCTGGCGCAGCTGCAGGCCCCTCGCCCACCCAGGCTGGCATTCCCCCACTCTCTGCCCTGGGGTGTGGTGCCTCCCTGTCTGCTGCCGGCCTCAGATGCTAGGCACAGCCGCGATGACCTCTGGCCCCGATCTCCACTCGACCCGTCCACTGGCGGCCGCTCAGTTGCGCCTCCCTGGGCCTCTGTCTCTGGGGCGCCGTCCACACCCTCTGGGTCTGTGCCCGGCCTTCGCTGCCAGGTAGATCTTACCAATTCTGAATAAAGGGCCTGTGCTTCTGTTCTGCCACAGACCCCACCCGCTGCACAGCCAGTCCCACCTGCCAGGGCCCCCATCCTGGTTCGAGGGTCTCTCTAGAAAGAGGTCGACATGGAAGCAGTGTAGGAGACGGCCTCAGTGCGTGCCGAGCATCTCCCTGATCCTTGGAACAGATGGGTGGTCACTGTCAACCATTTTACAGACGGGGAGCTTGAGGTGCAGGGAGGGTAGGGGATGAGCTTGGGGAACCAGCTGGTGAGCAAATGACTGAGTCTCCTGGCCCCGAGGCCAATCCCTATCCTGCCGTCTGCCGCCACTGGCCAGGTGCAGGGTCAGGCTACCCTGGACACCCTCTGAGCATCAATTTCTTCAGCTGATGGGCAGGTGGCCCCTCAGAGGTTCAGGGTAAGGGGCTGATCGGCAGGACATCCGACGCACGGCCCGTCTTCCACGTTCTTGGTCCTGAGTTCTGTGTGTGGATCTGGAGATACTCCCCAGGGTGTGGGGGCCACAGCAGCAGGAGGCGGGGTGCTCAGGGGAGGGGTTGGTGACATCCGTGACCTGCACACGGCACTGGCCACCTCCTGGCCTGGGATCATCAGTCTGTTCCCCACAGGCCAGGGTAGATCCTGGACCCCTCAGCTCCCCCCGCCACCCTGGCACAGTGCCTGCCTCCCCGCTCCCTCCCTCCCTTCCTCCCTCTCCTGGCTGAGCTCCAGTGGGCTGCCCACCACTGGGCCAGCCCAGGAGATGGTGACGCCCCGAGGGTCAGGAATTGCCCAGGATGGTCAAGGAGTGTACAGCCCAGACCATCACAGGCGTCCCCATCCTCCCCCCACTGCATGAATTCTCAACACACACTTGCCCCTGCCTGGCTGCACAGCCTGGGAGTCAGGGCCCCGCTGGGGGTGGGCAGCACACCAGAGGATGGGCCCCTGAGAGAGGGGCTGGGCCTGGGGCCGGGGCCTGTGGGCGCAGGCCAGGCTGGGCCAGCCATCCTGGGCCGGGTGCTGCCCACCAGCTCTGGGAGCAAGCCTGTCCCCACCCACCCGCGTGCTGGCCCTGGCCAACGACCGCCCTGTGGACGGGGTGCTCCCTGCGGGGGGAGCCCTGGGGCCCCTCAGGTCTTGGGTGGAGGCTCTCCCTGCCCCGCCAGGGCCACCAGCACCTCCCACCACCCCCGCCTCTGTGTGGCACCCACTGGCCCAGCCACTTAGGCCTCCTGCAGACAGTGGTCATTGTTGGCGCATTCTCATCCACCTTGAAGGAGGCCAGCCCTCCTGGGGGCGCCTGGGCTGGGGCTGGGGATGAACCCTGGGGGGGACTGGAGAGGAGGAGAGCAGGAGGGCTCAGGTATAGCCTCTGGGCAGTGGTCCATCTCCCAACCCAAGGTTAGGATAGGGTCCAGGGCCCTGAGGTTGCCCCCACCCTCTCCAGCCTCAATGCCCCATGTCCACAGACATAGCCTGTCTGAGCTGAGAGACAGGGGCTTTTCCACAGATCCCTGGTCCCTGCGACAGGCCCGAGGGCCACTCCTCTAAGGGCCCTGAACAGACCACCTCCTGGCGGGGGTCTGCACCAGCCCCCTGCCCTCGGCCCTGACAGCACCGCCCACCTCAGAACCAGGCTGTCCTGGGGCCCCATGTGCTCCCATGGGGGTGTCTCAGGAGCTTGGCTCCCTCAGGGTTGGGGCAGACACTAGGGATCTGGGGAGCCAGATGGCAGCCCCACCCCTGCAGGGTCAGGACCCCCAAGTGCAGCCCTCCTTCCCAGGCCCTGCTCCCCACCCAGCTCAGCCTGGGACCCATCCAAGCCAGCCCATCACCAGAGCGGACTCATCTGCCCAGCAACTTACCGCCCACCGCCTGTGTCCACAGACAGGAGCAGTGTGGGGAGCTGTCCATCTCCTGCCGCCCCAGCCCCTGCCCAGGGGAGCTGGGTGGAAGCAGGCCCTCCGTCTACCATCTAAGCACCGCCCGAGGAGCAGTGCTCCCTGAACTGGGCAGGCACACTTTCCTAGATGAACATAAAACGCCATGTCAGGAGCCCACAGGATCTCAGTGTCTCCCCTGGCAATATGAGAGGGAGCCTGGGGAGGCAGGAGGTAGCTTCCTGGAATGCCAACCCAGACAGGCCTGCAGGCTTACCCACCACGTGTGGTCCCTGGTGCCACCCTCAGCAGGAGGCACTCATTTAAGATCCACGGCCCACAGTCCAGGCTTTGAATTCTAAGTGTCCCACTTATAAGCTGTGTAACCATTGTCACACCACTTCCTCTATGGCCAGCACCAGCGCCAGCATCACCATCACCGTCATTACCAAGCCCATCATCACCATCTCTACTACCACCACCATCACCGCCATCACCAATCCCATCATCACCACCATCATAACCATCACCATCAACACCATCATCACCATCTCTACCACCACCACCACCACCACCATCATCACCAATCCCATCATCACCATCTCTACCACCACCACAACCATCACCACCATCACCAATCCCATCATCACCATCTCTAGCACCACCACCACCATCACCATCACCACCACCATCATCTCCATCTCTACCACCACCACCATCACCACCATCATCACCAATCCCATCATCACCATCTCTACCACCACTACCATCACCACCAATCCCATCATCATCTCTACCACCACCACAACCATCACCATCATCACCAATCCCATCATCACCATCTCTACCACCACCACAACAATCACCACCATAACCAATCCCATCATCACCATCTCTACCACCACCACAACCATCACCACCATAACCAATCCCATCATCATCTCTATCACCACCACCACCATCACCATCATCATCACCATCTCTACCATCACCACCACCATCACCACCAATCCCATCATCACCATCTCTACCACCACCACAACCATCACCACCATCACCAATCCCATCATCACCATCTCTACCACCACCACCACCACCATCATCACTCATCATCACCACCATCATCACCATCTCTACCACCACTGTCATCACCACCATCACCACCACCACCTTCATCATCACCACCACCACCCTCACCATTCCCAGTGTCAGTCAGTTCAGGCCCCTGTATCAGAACACCACTGACTGGGCAACTTAAACAACAGACATTTATTTCTTTCTCACAATTCTGGAGGCTGGCAAGTCCAAGATCAGGGTGTCAGTCCATCAGGTTTCTAGCGAGAGTTCTCTTGGCTGGTAGACGGCTATCTTCTTGAAGTGTTCTCACAAGGCCTTTTCTTGGTTTGTGAGAAAGAGGGGAATTGAAAGCCATCATCCTCTTCTGGTATAGGCATTAGTTATTGGAAAAGGGCCCCACTCTTATGACCTCATCTAACTTCAATTACCTCCTGAAAGCCCTGCCTCCGAACATTGTCATGCTGGGGGCTTCATCATATGAATGGGGGAGGGACACAGATCAGTTCACATCACCTGCCATCCTCAATATTGCCACCACCATGAAAACCACCACCTCGCCAACCACCACACCACTGACGCCGTGCGTTCCTCACTGCCCCGTGCGTTCCTCACTGCCCCATGCACCACCACCAGTGCCTTTGCCACCATGCTACTTCATCCCTGCCTTCTTCCAATCCGGGGTGCTCTAACTATACCACAGACAGGGTGGCTCACAAGCTGCAGAAATTTATTCCTCACCATTGCAGAGGCTGGAAATCCCAGGTCAGGGTGCCGGAGTGGCTGGGTTCTGGTGAAAGCCCTCCTGGCTGTGGACGGCAGACTTTGCTGTGTCCTCACATGATGCAAGAGGCGAGGGGCCTTCTGGGGTCTCTGTTATGGGTGTTAATCCAGTTCAAGGCTCCACCTGACCACCTCTCAAAGGCCCCGCTTCCCAACACCGTCAGCTTGGGGCTTAGGTTTTCAACAGTTAAATCTGGAGGGGTATACAAACATCCAGACCACAGCAACCCCATCACCAGTGTCTTCATCCAGCACCACAACTGGTCATCTCTGCCACAACCACCACCATAACCTCCACCATCCTCACCAGCATCACCATCTCCGGAGCCTCACTGCCAAGGGGCACCACACCTCCTGGCCAGACCCCCTTACGGGATGGCGGGGCAGATCAGACACCTGAGGCCAGTAGACGGCAGCCACTCAAGGCCTCATGCCATCTACTGTGGAGCCTCCCAAGGACAGCTGGACTCCGTTTTCCTAATTAGGAAGTGTCGGCCAGTGGCGTGGCAGGCTCGCTGAGCACGCCAGTGACATCACTACTCTGCTTTATTAATAAATGGGGGACGGACGCCCACTCACTGGAGACTGCAGCTGAGCCTCCTCTGAGGAGAACCCTCGGGCCCACGCTGCTTCCTGAGCTAACAGATGCCTCCTTAGACCCTCTGGCTGCCCCTGGCCCTTTTGCTGCAGGAGGGGCCTCGGCTCTTGACAAGCTGCTGGCCCGGTTGCAGGCCCGCTGCTCAGGATGGGGGGAGGTGGAGAGTGAGCCTGGGACCTGGGGCCAGAACCTGCACCCAGACTACCTCACCTGTGCTCCAGGGATCCTGATCTGGAGATGGGGAGCAGGGCCTCCTCCAAGGCTTACTGGGGAGCTGCAGAGATGTGGGCAAGTTGACACAGGCTTCCACCCTGCCAGGTCCAGACACAGAACACAGCGTCTCCAACACAGGGAGCCCCGCCTGCCCTCGTGGTGGCCAGTGTCTCAGCACCTGGAGGCCTGAGCTCACACTGCAGCCTTGGGGGACAAGGGCACAAAGCCTGCCCATCGCCTGCTCCCCGGCCCCTCGCTCCTCACGCCTGTCCCCTGGGCCCCACCCTCAAAGTCAGGCTACCAGAGCCTGCAGAGGGACCCCACAGGAGAGTCCCGTCCTGCCCTGGGCACCATGGTCCCCCTCCTCCAGGACGCCGGCTTTTGCTCTCCAGGTCTCTTCTGTCCTCCCAGTGCCCCACTCTGGGGAGCTCCCCCAGGCCCTGGGCTCCAGGCTGTCGTCTGGACAGGGCTAGCTGGCTGCAGGCCCCGGAGCGAGCACAGCGCCAGGCTGGACAGAGAAGTCTCCGGCCCTTGAAGGATGCCCCCAGCAGGCTCTCTGGGCTCCTCCCACCCCAGGACCTACAGCCTCCTGACTCCTGCAGCCAGAGACGACTGGCCTCAGCTGGACTGGGAAGAGTCCAGGACCCTGGCAAGGGGTAGGCAGAGGCAGGGCAGGCAGCTGCCAGGCCCCCAATCCCCATGGGCTCGGAGGATGGGGCTGGTCTGCAGGGGCCCTGGCGCTGGCTCAGGTGTGTGCCTGCCCACAGGTGACACAGGGGGGCCTGGCACAGCCCTGAGGCGCCCCCAGGAGCTGCCTGAATGCGCGGTGGTCTGCACTGGGGGAAGCCCAGCTCTGACATTCACACCTCTCCCACCTGCTGTGAGTCAGCCACACAGTCACTCTCCGCCCCCGGGACCACTATCAGCAGGGCCTGGAGCCGGGGTAGAGGCGGTGGGGGGTGGGGGTGGGGGCGCGTGTGTGGTCACAGAGAGCGCCACGTCACACGTGGGGGAGGAGGGGCGAGGTCACAAAGGCTCTCGCCTTCCCCCAGGGTACAAGTGAGTCCCACACGTGTTCCAGACTCCCTGGTCTTGCCCTCCTTGGGAGCTGAGAGTGCACATGGGCCAGAATGGGGGCTCAGCCCGCAACCAGGGTCAGAATGCAGGAGTGGGTCCAAGAACCGGGACTCAGTGAGGGACCAGCGTCAGGGTTCACCCAAGCCACGCACAGCAGACCCCTGGCTGCTCAGGAACCCTCCAGCTCCTTCAAGGTTCTAGGCTGGGGCCACCTGCACTCTCTCAAGTCCCCCAGAAGGCGCTGCACAGCCCCCAGAGACAGAACAAAGCCAGCCCCTTGTCTGAAAGGGTCTGTGGGGCTGTTGCAACTCCTGGCAGCTTCCACATCCACACACACTTTGTCCCCAGGCCAGGAAACTGTCTCTCGAGAGGATGTGGCAGAGGGGTGACCAACCTCACAGCTGGGCCTGTGGGAGGGCAGGGGCAGCTAGTGACACCCAGACCCAGGGGCCACCCGGGGCCCCCTGCTGGGACTCTGGCCTGCAAGCCAGTTTCAGGCCCGGGCCCTCTTGCTGGGCTTGTGCGCCTGCTAACACTGCCAGAGTGATGCGGCCACCCTCCACCGAACCTGGTGTCTCCAGCCTTCTCTTCCCTCCTGGCACTGCTCAAGGAGCCCCTCCTGCCCCAGGCCCACAGAGGTGAGCACACTGACTGGGAAGCCCGTGGCCGGCAGCGGGCCTCAGGACACCTCCGTGAAATGGGGCCGTCGTGGGGACCGTCCACCCGCCTGGACTGGCCTTCACCTTTGAGGGCCGTGCACCCAGCAAGCCCGGGTAGGTGGGAGGTGGCAGGCGCTCCAGCTGAGATGGAGGCCCAGGCTGCTGCCCCACCCGGCCTCCCATTCCGGGCGGTGGGCGAGACCGTCCCACACCACTCTGAGACCACCCAGCGTGGTCTTTTCACCCTGTTCTTTGGACAGCATCATCTCTCAAGCGCCATCAAGATCACGAACTCTTTCTCCCACGAGTTCACATCTACTGCTGAGCCCTCTGGCAAATCCATCATCTTACAGTACTTCTCAACTCCATTGTTGAATTTCCATGTTTTTAAAAACAGCTTTTTATTTATCATCTTTTTACTGATTTTCTCTACTTAATATCTTCCTTTCCCCCCTTAACTTCTTTAATCATGGTTTCCTCTAGTTCTCTGACTGTATCTGTAATGGTCAATTTGAAGTCTTTCCCTGTTAAATCCAACATCTCACTGTCACCTGCGTTTTAGGAACAATATGGTATGTGGTCGTATTTCTCTGTTTCTTTGTGTTTGTAATTTTGGATTGGAAACTGGCCATTTTAGGTCATGTATCATACCAGCTCTGGGTACTGGTCACCCCAGACTGGGACTTACATTCTTCTCTGCCTCATGTCTTACTGGCTGGGTCATCTTAGGGGCACCCCCTCAGTCCCTGACGCTCCTTCCCAGGGGCACAGCCTCAGGAAGGCCCACGGTACCTCCACCCCATGGCAGTGGTTTTGGCAAAGCTCTGACTGTGTGGTCCCTGCCCGCACCCAGCGGTTAAACTCCACTCACAGCTGGCAGACTGGTTTTCAACAATGCCCTGGGCAGAAGCTCCTTCTCAGACCAATCCCATTGCACCTGGCTCCTCTGAAGAAGATACTGAGATCAGTGCTGGGGATTCCCCTGACCACAGGGGGCCTGCGGTCCAGCCTGTGTCAACCTCTCTCCATGACGTCCGTCTCTTGAGAGCACCCTGGGTTGGGCTCCACCTCGTTCTGCAGGAAACACGGTCAGCTCCTTAACAGCAGCACTAGGCTCGCTCCTGCAGGACTAGCCTGCTTCTCCCCTGGTGAAAACCTCTGAGCACTGCTCACTGCTGGCGGTGGGTGACAGGTGAGTGCTGGGAGGAGGGGGCAGCGGTCCAGGCCTCCGGGGCTGGCCCCTCAGCGTGGAACCGCCACACGGCTCACCCTGGGCGCCTCGGCAGTCTGCCCGTGTCTTTGTGGAGACAGCGGTGGAGAATGTGACTCATGGACAGCGTAGCCCCCCAGAAGCCCTTCTTGGGAGACATGTGCTCCCTGGAAGCAGGTCAGGGGTTGCCCTTGGGCCTCCAGATGAGCTCAATGCCCAGCACACAGCAGGTACTCAGGAACGCTACGCCCTGTGCTAGAAGCACATTTAAGGAAACCCACTGCAGCTGGTGTCTGTGCAGCTGCTGGGCAGGCCCTCCGGGGTGGGTCCTGCTTGCCCTGTGCCACGGCCTCCCAGGAACAGAAGCAGTGCGAGTCCCTGCCTCCAACCTCCATCCCTCCAGAAACATCTGGCTACTATGGCCCCGAGCTGCCTCCAAGGGGCTCTGGCTCCACCCCAGGGAAGCCTGGCTGATAGGTCCAGGCAGGAGCTGCACCCACCCACCCATCAACACTCCTGCCCCCACCACCCCAGCCATCAGAGGTGTGGGTGTGCAGGGCAGGGCCTCCTGCTTCCCACCCCCAACAGGAAATGCAGGTGAGGTGGGCAGTTCACTTCGACCCCGCAGGCCTGATCGGGCTTCTCCAACTGCACAGCCTCCGGGGCCTCCCACATTGAGGGTCTAATCAGACCCCCGAGACCCAATGCAACAGGAGAAGCAGCAGTTCGAGAAGGAGTGCCAAGGACAGGCTCCCTCCCAGCGGTGACGGCTGCTTGCTGATCGGCCACGACAGACGGGAGCAGGCTGTGTGGGCAGGACAAGAATCCAGCCCAGGGGCTATGTCTGCTGGGGACCGAGCACCCACAGGGGGCCTAGGAGGCCTGCCCACCCCCAGCACAGTCCTACTGCTCCAGGCCGCTGGACTGGGGCTGGCCGTGGGGAGGGAGCGTCTCCATGTGTCCATCCACGTCCAGGCTGCCGCCCCGACACCTGACCCTGCCACACGCCCACAGCACAGGGAACACACGAGTCCAAAAGTGGTGAGAGAGGGCACGCTGCACAGCTGTCGCCCCCACACGTGAGGGAAGGCGACGTGACGGCTCAGCAGGAGGCAGTCTGGCCCAAAAATGAAAATGACCTGTGCTTGCTTCACGATCTTCACACACACGTTTTCAGCAGGAAACACACAGCTCACAGAGCAGTGGCAAGCCAGCCGAGACTGTCACCTCAGTGTCTGGAAGGACGCAAAGATACCAGAGAACAACCACAAGCCGAACCCTCACCTCCCCTTGGCTCTTGCGGGAACAGAGGGGTCTCAGTGCGATAAACACAGGAATGAAAACTGTGGGCTGATTCAGCTGCCCAAGAAGCGGTAGAACTGAAGGCAAATGGTGAAGAGCCCAGAAAAGGACGCCCACATCCGGTTCATTCAAAGAGGGCGACCAGCCTGCCCAGGGCACTCCGTCTGGTCGTGAGTGACCAGGGGCTCTCTGTCTGGTGACAAGGGACCAGGCTGGCCAGAGGCGCTCCGTCTGGTGACAAGCGATGCAGAGCAGAGGCATCAGCAGCGATGCAGGGAGCACAAGTCTCCTGGTACGGGTCTTTACAAGAGCGGCCCACACAGTCAGCTTTCCCCACGTGAATCACTACGGGGCCAACAGCTCAAAATAAGAGTTCCAACGCTGCTAGGCATCTGAGTAGCTCCTTTTACTGTTTTTGTTACATCACCTCAGACTAACTTCTGAACGTCTGGTCCAGGTTTACTAATGCGGAGGCTGTAAATGCAAAGTTCTGAGGATTGAGGGACTGTGGACCACATACAGGACTTGAAGCCAAGATGCTCAAAACACTGGTAGTGACCTGGGGTCCCACACTGGGGCAATGGGCTCCTCGGTGGCCCGCTCCTGCTGGCTCTAAAAACAACTCTACCACGTCAAGTGGGCATGCAGCCCACTGCATCCTGGGGCCCAAGCCCGAGGGCAACATGAAGTGAGGCTCACTCTGCTAGGAGAGCTGACGACTGACGCGGGGACACAGGGCCTGCAATGCCACAGGCAGGGGCCATACAGACTCTCACTCACAGTCGAGTCCCACCCTCAGTGACCTGCCTGATCCAGGGCCGGCCCCAGACCTGCAGACAGCCCCAGGGGGCGAGCGGGGGCCCTCGGGAAGTGTCAGCCCCATCAAGCAGCAGTGGGGACCATGGTCAGTCGGCTGAAGGTGGCTTGTCCCCGCCTGGACAGACAGATGTCCCTACCCTTGTACATAGCAAGGCTCAGGCAGCGAATACAAGCTGGGCGGCGGCCCCTGGAGGTTCTGGGACATTTTGGGTCTGGGTGGGCCCTTCAGGAAGACCTCCTTGTGCTCGGGTAGCAGGACAGACCACACGGCAAAACCTCAACGGGGCAGGCTGTCCTGATGAACATGACCCCGAGACCGCAGGTCAGACCTCACCGCCTCAGGCCTCGCCGGCCGTGGACGAGCTGGGCAGCGGGGAGCGAGGCTGGGTGCCGCGAGGCCCAGGCCATTCCCAGGGTGCCTCAAGCTTGACAGCAGCTGCGGGGGCCCCACATCGCTGCGCCTGCCACCGCCTGCTGAACACAGATCGCAGCGAGCGCAGCTGGCCCAGCTCCTGCGCTGAGAAGCAGGGCTGCGCCTCCGCGAAGCGCACCACGGCATCGAAGGACACCGCCGCCTGCTCCCAGGCCGCCCTGTCTGCCCCTCCAGCCTCCGCCAGCACCGGGCTCCCTGAGGCCGCACTCCCGAGGTGGGCTGGGGCACCTGCTGCGAGCCCGGGGGTGTGCGCAAAGGCCTGGTCTGGGGGCTTAGTCCTGAGGCGCTCCGGCTCCTCCTCGGAGGATGAGCCCTCCATGAGTGCAGCCTCAGGCCACAGCTTCCTCCAGGCCCGGCTGAGGACGGCGCCCGGCACCGCATCCCAGGCACAGGCCACGTCAAGCACGGCATCGTGCACACTGCAGCGGGGGGCCAAGGCCTGCAGCCTGCCGCGGGGCGTGACGAAGTTCCTCATGAAGTCCCTCCGAATGCCCTGGTCCATGGGCTGGAGCAGGGTGGTGACACTGGCAGGCAGGAAGATGGTGAAGACGTTCTCCGAGGCTAGCTCAGCCTCGTGCGGGTGCACCCGGGAGCCATCCAGGAGGAGGATGGCCTTGCTGCCCTCTGGCAGGGCCACGGCTCGGAAGTGCTCCTTCACTGCGGGCACGAAGATGTGATGGAACCAGTCAGCAAAAATCTCCTTGTCCACCCAGGCGCTGCCTTGGGCCTTGTATGCGACAGGCAGGTGCTGGAGGCCCTGCACCGCCTTGGGGCCACCCCATTTCCCGACCACCAAGGGCTTGATCCTATGGGAGCCTGTGGCATTGGCGCACATGAGGACAGTCAGCCGGTCCTTGCTCTGCGTGGGGCCGGGCGCCGGCCCGCCCTCGGGGTTGGGGCTGTGGGAGCAGCGCCAGAAGAGACCAGTCTCGTCAGCGTTGTAGACCTGCTCGGGGGACAGGCCATGCTCCGCGGTTAAGCTCCGGAAGAACCCGCAGAACTGCTCGGCCGCCTGCTGGTCGGCCGCCTGCTTCTCGCTGGATGCATCCAGCTTCTTGATGCCGTGTCTGGCCTTAAAGCGCCAGAGCCAGCCGCCAGAAAACACACAGGGCTCAGTCAGCTGCATCTGCTCATAGAAGTCCTTGGCCTTTTCGATGAGCATGGGGCCGGAGACGGGCACGCCCTCAGACCGCTTCACCAGGAACCACTCGTAGAGCACGCGGTCCAGGTGCTCGAGCTTGGGCGTGTGCAGGGTGCGGCGCTGCGCCAGCGCCTTGTCCGAGTCGGAGCTGGCGAAGAAGCGGAGCAGCTGGGCCTTGTGGGCCCTGATGTCGTACAGGGTGGACATGCCCACATTGTACTCCTGCATCAGTGCCCGCCTGCTCTCGCCCTTCTCCAGGCGCCGGCAGATGTCCATCTTCTCCTTCAGGGTCAGCACCACCCTCTTGCGCTTCTCCCCAGGGCCCCGCCCGGCAATCGGCTTGGAGGCCATGAGGAGGGGCTCGTCCCAGCCGAGGGGGTCGCACCTGGGCAGGGGCTGGTGGCCTTCCCGCCTCTTCCTCCCCCACCCTCACCTGCCAGAGCTGACGCAGGGCCAGCACAAGCCAGGGCCCCTTCTCAGCTCCTCTCTCCAGCTCCAGCAGCTTCCCGACCCTCTCTGCAGGGGGACCAGCGTCAGCCACCCTGGGCGCCCCCACGGCTGGACCTCCGGCCTTCTCTGCAGGGACGGTGGCCGTGACTCCCCTCAAACACAGACCGGAGAGTACAGCGGCCCTGGGAGGTGGTTTCCAGCTAATAGAGGTTTTACTGCCTGAGCCGTGGGGGCCTCTCTCGTGCACATGGTGCTTTATCAGCTGGAAAGCAAAAGGGGGAAGAAAGAGAAACATTAGGGCACGTGCCTCGGCCTCATAAGCACGTCCTCGTCAACTCTACCCACACTGAAGCAGCCACTGGCAGGGTCTGGGGGACAATGAACAGAGCTGCCAGCAGGTGACGCAAGAGGCCGGCTCGGGGGCTACCGGGCTCACTGGCTCTTCTCAGCTTCCACAGGGACCTCGGAGTCGCTCGCTACGGCTCCAAACTATAAGTGGCTGTCGGGTGCAATCGACCTCCCAGGAAAACATGAGGGTGAGGCTACTGAATGAAGCTGGGATGTCGCCAAGCACTGGGACCCGAGGGCCATGTCCCACATCAAGACTCAACTTTCCCACCAAAAGTGCTCACCGGGCCACCTGACATGAGAACCTTCATAAAACCCTCGTTCCGTCAAGAGCAGCTGAGGCAGGGGCAAAGGTGCTGCAGCGGGCAGGGATTCCTCTAGGATTCTGGGGCTGGGGAGCCTGCAAGCCTCTTCAGAAACAAGTTCCTCAAGCCCTCTCTTCAAGAGCAGGCCCCAAACTCCTTCTAGAAAGACAAGCTCAGCAGGCCTCAGGCTCCCCCCAGAGCCAGGAGGGGCGGCCAGTCTCTCGACTGCTGGTCCCACAGCCTTGGACACCTCTGGTCACAATCACACATGAGCGTGCAAACAGCACTCACACCCACTCCGACCTTGGAGGGACAGCCAGCACGTCCCACCTCGGAGAGGCAGGCAGCGCTGGCAGCCGCTCTTCCAGGCAGGACCCCCACCTCACCTCCCCCCAAACCCTCACGTGTGGCCCCACCCAACTTCATGCTGTGGGTGAAGCCACAGGACTACTCACATGTGGAACGTACAAAGGCAGCCCTTTGAGCCACAGCTCAACAGAAGTGAAGTGTTTTCAGATGTAGCAAGACTCCCAAAGACAAACCCTAGGCCTGTCAGCAGCCAGCCCCAGGTTCATCTTTTCAGCCCTCTGAGTCAGCCTCCCGGTCTGCAATGTGGGGGTGCTGGTCCTTCTGGGACCTGTTTTCATCCTAATGGCTGTGTGACAGTGTGACTGTGCACTGCCTGGCCCCGTGCGGAGCAGAGGGGATGAAAGGCCATAATCCATCCTCAAGGAGACGTGTAGTGCACAACCACTGTAAAAACCAGGAGGAAAACAGGGGGCCCGGTCACTTCGGAGGGCCTGACTCTAAGCACAACAGGAAGGAGGAGGAAGGGCCAGAGAAGGGGACTCAGTGCCAGAAACTGCTCACTGTGTGCCTGACACGAAGCGTGTGCAGCAGGAGCTGGAAACACACGGGTCCTGCTGACGAGGCAGAAACTTCCTTTAAAAGTGACATTCAGGTATATTACTTCTGAAGCAACTTAAGCTAAAAGGGTAACACGGCAAGAACAATGAAGACCGTTTGCAGCCTTGCTGTAGACATCCTCCTGTGCCATAGGGGAGGGTAGGAGGGGGCAGGGGGCGGACCGTGGGCAAGAGAGCGAGCAGCGGGGCACCACCTGCATGCAGCCCCTTCTTGCGAGCGGGGGTAGGCTCGTCCTCAGAGAAAGCCTGAGGAATTTAGGGGGAGCATGTGAGAAAGCCCCTTTCCTCGGGAGCAGCCAACAGCTTGAGGTCGGGGCGGGGGGAGGGGGGTTGACTATTGGGAGAAGTGCTCAAGACACAAGTTCTGGCCCGAGGAAGGGCTGGATGGAGTCCTGAGAGGCAAGAGGGGCTGGGCAGGGGCCCGCGCTCAGGAGTGGACGTCGGCACACCCTGCAGGGAAGCGAGGCCGTCGTGGGCGCAGGTGCGGGGCCCAGGCCTGGGGCAGCCTAAGGCAGGGGGCCGGCTCGGTTAAGAGACGAGGCCTGTTCTGAGAACGCTCCTAGTTCGGGGACCACGTCTGGGGCAGAAGGGCAAAAGCCAGACAGAGAAAAAAGAGGCAGGGCTCAGGACGGCTCCTTCCGGGGGAAGGGAACTCGGGCGCCGGTCCTGCCTCGGGCCGGCGGGACCCGGCCAGAGGCTGTGGAGGGACCAACTCGGTTCCGAGCGACCCAGGAGCGCTTCGCACCAGCAGCCAGGCCCCGAATCCCTGCGTCCGCCTCACCCTCCACATCGCCCCAGAGCTCGCTCACCTGAGGACGCCTGGCCGCCGCCGCCGGCCGGAAGCGCCCCCCCCCGCGGCCCCCCAGCCACTTCCGGGGCGCTCTAGGCGTCTCGGAGGACTCGGCATCTCTGTGGTCTCGCGGGCGGCCGGAGCCTGCGGCTGGCTGCTCGGGCCGAGCGGGGGCTGTAGCTGTGGGTTCGGTGGGGTGCGTCGCTGGGCGAGGGTGGCAGGAGGCTGCGGGTGGGAGAAAGCAGTGCTTGAGCCCCTCCCTTTGCGAAGCCCAATGGCCAACGCTGTTTTTCTCCTCCCCAGCCTCCGCTAGAGCCTCCTGTGTGTTAGTCGCTCAGTCGTGTCCGACTCTTTGCGACCCCATGGACTGTAGCCCACCAGACTCCTCTGTCCGTGGGATTCTCCAGGCAAGGGTACTGGAGTGGGTTGCCATGTCCTTCTCCAGGGGATCTTCCCGACCCGCGTCTCCTAGCTAGAGCCTCATCCTCCCCTAATTGAGATGATTTGGATGATAAGACTTGAAGCCTTGACACTGTAATGAGTTGAGATTTGGGGACCTTGGGATGGGGTGATGAGGGGCAGAGGACGTCCAAGCCCGAATGCCCAGAGCCCTGTGTGACTGGGTCACCTCACTTGTTATCAGTGACTGTGTGGATGCTACTGAGTTACGATTCTTGAGGTGAGAGATTATTCCGGTTATCCCATGGGACGGGTGTCATCCGTCACAGGCTCCTCGTGAAGGGGAGGAAGGAAGCACAGGTCTGGAGAACCATGGGACCATGGGAGCAGAGCCAGAAAAGGAGATGTGAGGCCAGACACAGGAGGAAGTGTGCACCTGGAAAACGGAGGAAGGGGCCGCAAGCCGAGGAACGCAGATTCTAGGAGCTGGAAAATAAAAGGAGGCATTCTCACCGGAGCCTGCAGAAGAACCAGCTCTGTGGACACCTTGAGTTTAGCTCTAAGACTCATGTCAGACTTCTGACCTCCAGAACTGCAAGATGATAAATACGTGTTGTCTGAAGCCAGGTTTACAGCCACTTGTTATGGTAGCAGCAGGGAACTTAGACGGATTTTCATAGGTTCTTGCCTTGGCTCTCAGGATGCTCCCACCCCTGGTCCTCCTTCCTCACCCTCCCCTGCTAATTGCTACCTGGCTACCTTCACCCCTGGCTCTCTCCTCTCTGTCCACGCCCGCTCCCGGGATCTCCTCCAGCCTCGCGCTATGCCTACCAGCAAAGGCAGGCAGCTGAAACGTAGCCTCCTGCCAGGACCCCGCCCACAAGCTCTAGCAAGTGTGCCCTACCCAGTGCCCAGCGTCCCCTCATAGCCTTCTAACGCACCTTGAACCAGCCATCTCTAAACCTGGGTGCACACCCCTCCTGCCCCGCGAGCTTCAGCTTCACACTCCCCACCGGAGTGAATGGCAGCTCCACGTCTCCATTGCTCCGGCCAAAAACCCAGCCATCCCTGCCCTCTGTCTCTCACCCCCTTCCTCCAACACACGCACTCTGGCCTCCACATCCAGGCAGCAGCTGGCCTCTGCCAGCCCCTGTCTCTGGTCCGGGCTGCTCTGACCCCGCGGGCGCCGTCCCTGACTCCTCCGCAGGGGCCCACTCTGCTGCCACCTGTGGGCACAGGATCACTTGTGCCTCCCGGAACCTGCGTGGAGCTCCCGTGGAAGCTCCCACCGGGCTCACTGAGACCTCAGATCTTGTCTCCAGGACTGAGTCCACTCTGGCAGAGAGGAAGGGATCTGGAAGAGACAGGAGGAGGAAGACCATCCCCTGGTGCCACATGAAGCCTGGCGCGGAGGGCCCCCTCCCCTGAGTATCCCCCCAGTGCACAGGGTCTGGCCCCCAACCATACCAGACGGTCCCCAGCCCAGAAGTCTTGGAAAGGATCTGGCTGAGTGGATGCCCCCACATCCCGTGCACCCCGGAAAGGTCCTCCTGGGCCACCAGGCCTGGCTGGGTCCAGCTGTCACTGAGAGAGTCAGTTCCTAGGCAGTTTGATAAGTCCAGCGTCCCCGGGGAGGAGATAGGGGTCTGGGGTTCTTGAGGAGAAGGAAAGGACAAACTTTTTTTTTCTCTACATTCCTTAGCCTTAGTCGCATAAAACTTGTTTGTTTTTTTTTTCTTTAAGTCCGGAACTGATGATTACACAACAGACAACTCAGTTTAAACTATGTGCTAGGGATTATATATAGATGGGGAGACAGTGGAAACAGTGTCAGACTTCATTTTTTTGGGCTCCAAAATCACTGCAGATGGTGATTGCAGCCATGAAATTAAAAGACGCTTACTCCTTGGAAGGAAAGTTATGACCAACCTAGATAGCGTATTAAAAAGCAGAGACATTACTTTGCCAACAAAGGTCTGTCTGGTCAAGGTTATGGTTTTTCCAGTGGTCATGTATGGATGTGAGAGTTGAACTGTGAGGAAAGCTGAGTGCTGAAAAATGGATGCTTTTGAACTGTGGTGTTGGAGAAGACTCTTGAGAGTTCCTTGGACTGCAATGCAAGGAGATCCAACCAGTCCATCCTGAAGGAGATCAGTCCTGGGTGTTCATTGGAAAGACTGATGCTGAAGCTGAAACTCCAGTACTTTGCCCACCTCATGCGAAGAGTTGACTCATTGGAAAAGACCCTGATCCTGGGAGGGATTGGGGGCAGGAGGGGGAAGGGGATGACAGAGGATGAGATGGTTGGATGGCATGACTGACTCGATGGACATGAGTTTGAGTAAACTCTGGGAGTTGGTGATGGACAGGGAGGCCTGGCGTGCTGCGATTCATGGGGTTGCAGAGTCGGAGATGACTGAGCGACTGAACTGACTGAACTGAGGGATTATATAACAACAATGTATCCGGCATGAGGGCAGTTTCTCCTTCCTGAAAACCTTCTGACTAATCCTGATATTTTAGAATGTGGGTCTGGTAGGATCTTTCTATTGTTAAATTCTAATCCTGTCATCCTAAAATGTAAACTGTGGGAGTGGGTCTGGTAAAATTTTTACAACCTTGAGACATTCTTTTGATTTATTGTAATAGCTAATTTAAAAAGTATACAGCTCCCTTGCTAACACTAGCAAGGGGGGGCACTCTCCGTCCCCTTCTGATGTCTGTGTCAGAAGCGTTGTCTGTCCCTTTCTCACTTTAATAAAACTCTGCTACACAAAAGCCTCGTCGCTGGTCCCGAAGCTAAATCTTCTTCAGAGATCACGAATCTGACACCGTTCATCATAAGTGTCAACTACAAATTGGTACTTACCAAGAGCCCTGCCAATGACTGAACAGCAAAGGCCTTTGCCACCTGCCTCTACAGAGATTGAACCCCACGCTGCTCCAGCTGTTGACCTTCAACAATCCCCGAGGGAGTTCAGGGTGGAGTGAGGCACTCGGTGCTCCAGCGAATCTGGTGGGATGGGTCTTTAGGTGGTTGGATGTTTTTAGGAACAGATTTTGTGATCTCAATCCTTGCATCTCCTCATATCTAGAGAAGCACTAAATCCCTTCCTGGTGACATCAGATCCTCATGACTAACAAAAACCTTTTGTAAAATGAGTGCTTCATGGTATTGAACTCCGCCTTCACCAAAACCTTGTATATTGACCTTCCCCCACTGCCGCTTTGGAGCATCTCTCAGCTATCTGAGATGCTGCCTCCGGGCTGCAGTCCTCATTTTGCTCCAAATAAAACTTAACTCACAACTCTCAAGTTGTACATCTTTCTTTAGTTGACAGTTATGGTGACCAACGAAGCAACCCAGAGTGGACTTCCTTCCTTCGACTGGACTCCACGAGGAACCAGAGCTTTGGTACCAGCAGCGGCCCCCTGCGTCCGTCCGCCTCCTCGGGGAGTGCAGACGAATTTGGGTAAGTCTCTCCTGGTTCTTGAATCTCCCGTATTGGTTGAGATTCTGAGTTTATTTGGCGGTGGAGCAGACCTGCCCCCTCCTAGCAAGACGGATACTGGGGTGGGCCCGGGTGAAACATCCAGGGCATACCCACTCATGGTCTAGACACTGAGTGGGGCTCGGTTGAAAGATCCTGAAGAATTCCCACCCAGTCAAAAGATACTGGGTGGGGGTCTGGCTGAAAGGTGCCAGGAGAATTGCCCACCCAGTGGAAAGGTACTCGGTAGGGGGGCTCGACTGGGGAAAACATCTAGGAATACCCAAGGCTCAGCTGAAAGATGCCAAGGTCCCTCCATTGTAGGGGACTCAACAGTCTTGGCTGTTCTGACACTTTTCCCCAATTTGACTGCCATTATAGAATTTGTCAGGATAAAAGTGAGGAAAATACATGAGAGCTTTGCTCTGAAGAAAAGGGACAGGACTCCTTCCGGCCAGTTTCAGTTTTCTTAGGTGACTGAGAAATTTACGGGAGTGGTGGAGGCCTAGTCCTCATACCATGCTGTGGTCCCATAGGGAAACCCAGTCATTAATAAAATACTTGTTCATCCGGGGGTCTCACATAAGAACTGCCATTCAGCGACCTGAGCAGCCTCGGTGGTCTTAGATTGCCGGAGGCAGAACCCGAGACAGGTAAGATGAGCTGAAACAGCTCTGGGGTGACTCCTAGAGGAGTTACGCTCACAAGCAGCACATGGGCCCACTACACAAGTTCACTAGCGACTTTTATCCCTGAAAAATTCAGCTTAAAATGGGATACAGAATCTCTCAAAAACAGAAACAAAGGGATGTCAGAAAGCCAGCCTCTGTCTAACACTCATGTACGATACATACGGGGCTCATACTTGCAAGTACCTAGTTAATTGGAGAAATTAAAAGAGATCTGAACCTTTTAAAATGGCCAGTTGGGGTTCTTTTGATATTCTAAAATTGATATTTTTGCGTGCACAGTTAGAAAAAGCCGGCTGCGCTTTGACTGGTATCGAGAAGCTTCTAAAGCAGGAAATGATACAGTAACTTCTTTGCAGAAAATCAACAAGAAATTGCTTGAAACTATCAGAACTAAAAAGGCTGCTAGCACTGACTTTGCGAGATCACAGGCATAGTGGAACTGGGAAGTCACGTTCGGCATTTACGCCATTTGGTTTT